AATCACCTTTATTTTCTTTAAGTTCTCAGTGAAATTTGAACACTTAAGAAAGAATCAGATTTCCCCCTGGGCCCATCCTAGTGGGTTGGCTCTCTGAGTTTCCCTAAGTAGATATACTCATTTACTGAGACCTCCATTGTGGGTGTCCACATGGAGTACTCATTAGGATCCTTTCTTGGACATAGTATCTGTGAAAGAGAAAGACACAGAGAGAGACAGATGCAGACGGGGGGAAAGAAGGAAGGAAGGGAAAGAGGAGAAAGGAAAGGAGGGAGAAGGCAAGGGAGGAGGGAGAGAAGGAAGGAAGAAGAAAAAAGGAAGGATGGAAGGAGGGAGAGAAGGAGAAAGGAAAGGAGGGAGGAGGGAAGGGAAGGGAAGGAAGGAAAGCAAAACATCTCTTAAGTGTTTTTGCCAAGCACTGTGCTAAATGCTGACAATAAAAACACAAAAATGAGAGAAGATAGAGAAATCTCTTCAGCTGCACCAAAGAGAGCTACTTTTCCACTTTAGGGGTGTAGGGCTCTGTGATGAGAGTCATCCAGGGTGACTGCTCGAGAGCCCTGCCCTGTGGACTGGAGTCTCAGACTGATTGCTGTTTGTGCACTCTATAGCTGTTATTATTGTGTATCAGTCGCCTCGCCTCCTCTTTTCTGATGGTGTTCAGATAGAAATAGTCTGGGAACAAGCTGCTAGCCTACTATTATTCTTTTATGTTTAATCTTTTACAGATTATTGTTCTGGCCGATAAAATTGCCATTTTTTGGGTAGTTGAATAAAAATACTGGGATCTAAGCTCATCTTCTGTGGGCTCAGAGAAAGTACCCTCAGGAGGGCTCACGTGGCAGACAGGGTGATGGGATCAATGATGGGCACCTGGGCTTGCTCCCACATGATTTTGATTTCTCTTATTATTTCTTGATAGTGTGAAAGCTTTTCATCCCGTGAAGCTGGGAGATTGGGAGTATTCAGTGTGGCGGCATCTATTACAAGTGTGGTTCTTAAAGGTGTATGGAGCAGTATTACAGGCAGCAGGCCTCAACCTTGACCCCTCCTCTCCCACGTCCAAGCATTCTCACTGTCCCGAGTTCCCTCCTCTCCTCCTTCCTGCTTCCCTGGCTTCAAGTCCCACTTTCTACGAGAAGCTCCCTCTTCTTAGTGTTTGCCCTCCGAGAGCACCCCTGATCGATCCTGTTTCTAGCCTGCTTGCACGTAATTGTTGCTTTTCTGCCCCACGTGAGCTCCTTACAGGCGGCAATCTTTCCCCCTTTTTGTTTTCCTAGCATTTACCACAGTATCTGGCACACAGAAGGCTCTTCGTAAATGTTTATTGATTGACTGATTGATCAGAAGATTCGGTGACTGCAGATGAGCCTTAGAGAGTTGTCTGAGCCTCAGAGAGGTTAAGTGGCATTCGTGGCTGCACAGCCAGTGAACATCAAAGGCCAGATTTGAATCCACATTTCCATCCACAGTTCCCAGCCACCTGTCACTATGTGAGATCTGTGATGAGCATGTGCTAACCAGAACAGTAATACCCTATATTTGTAGCCTGGTGGGGTTCACGCTTCTCAAAGTACACATTGGATCCCCTCTGCAGCCCGGGAGGGTGTACACGGTGGGCAGAAGGAGTCCCCATTTGACCATTGAAGACACAGTGGCTCCCAGAGGACCAGTGGAAATACTGGATTCTGTGACTGACCAGAGGGTATAAAGACCATTCTCTGGCCTCTCCTGTCTTATATCTTATTATTATCCTATCCTCCCTTATCATTTGTTTTTATGAGAGAGGAGAGTAACGCTAAGTATGCCAGCATAAAAGAGAGATTCAGACAGAATGAAGCAAAGACCTCCTGACCCTGCCTCAGAAAAACCAATTTTTAAAAAATTGAAAATCCTCATACACATTGTGGAGAATAGAAGGAGTCAACCTGGTTTGTCCTGTGCATTCAGGGCCTCCTTTTGTCTCTCTCCTACCCCCTTAACTCCACATCTCATAAACTAATGTGGAATTTGAGAGACTTATGGACTGTGATCCACTCAGTGACCAACCCCAATTCGTTGTGACTCACCATGGAAAGTGCTGCCCGCACCCAGACAGAGGCGATGGACTCAGGGGGCAGAATGAGACCTAGCGTTATTGGACGGGGCCAGTTTGGAATTTTGTTTACTTGACTTTGCCTGTTTGTTCTAAGGGTTTTGTTTTTCTTTTCTTTTTCAGAGGGGGTGGGGCTGGAAGAGAGAGAAGGCAGATTTTTATTTCTTGAAAAATAAGTAAAATTTTTGAAAATGAACTAATATTAGAAAAATTCATCCCTTTTCAACAGCATGGGGATGGGAGGAGCTCAGAAAGATGCCAGTGGAATCTAGTTGGGACCAGGGGAGTTTAGGCAGCCAGCCTTTTCCTTGGAGGTTTGGGATGCGTCTTACATTCTGCTTCTCATAGTAGGGGGAGATGTTAGAGCAAATTGCATTAATCTGTTAGTGATTAGGCCCGGCCTGGGACGTGGTCCAGCCGCTGACGTGAGCCGAGAAGAGTGCCTTGCCTCTCTCCAGAGGTCAGCATCTGCCCCAGATCTGGGAGTTTTTGTCTTACCCCTGTTGCCGGGAGAGAAGATGCATCTTTCAAGGTTAATGCCACTAGCTGCAATCTCAAGGGATTCTGTGTGGGCCTGGATGAGAATAGGAAGATAGAGAGATAGCGTGTGTCTGTTAGGCACAGGGAGTGGGAAGGGGGTCCTGGGGAAGAGGTCCCCTCAGACCAGGAGACTGACCACATGTGGCTCATGTCCCAAGGCACCTGAAATAGACCGGTCTTTAAAACATGCTCGTGTTGAAAGCCATTCGAAAGCCCAGGAGCTGGAGAAGCTACACGTCGGCTGTTTTCTTTCTTTTGCCTTTTGCAAATTGATTACAGGTTTCCGGGAAAGAAAAAAACAACAAAAACAGGCCTGCTTGCCTGGAAGTGGTCAGACCTTTCCAAAAGTGTCCATAATGTGTGATTGCTTTAGTACCATGTGCAGATTGGATTAAAGCTGAGTAAATTGTTGAATTCAGGTCGGGCCTTTCTAATCGATACTGTTGCTGATGTCCCGTCGCAGACAAGGCCACAGAGATTGGGGCTTCCTCCTAACAATCGCTGGATTTTGAGAATGGAATTTTTTACTTACCTCTCTGTCCCACTTCTCGGTATACAAGGTACTTCTTGAGGAAAGAGACTCTGCATTTTTAGTGCTTACCACAGTGTGTCCCTAGGCACACAGTAGGCGCTTAACAAATGCTTGTCGAATTGAACCTAATTTCCTCATAGTAGGAGGTGTTAGGAGTGAATGATCACCCCCATTTTTACAGGTGAGGAAACTGAGCCTCAGAGAAATTGGCTGGCTTGACCCAGCTGAGAAGCGTCAGAGGTGGGCTTCCAACCGAGGTCCCCTGACTTAAAGACCAATGCTGGTCTGCTGTAATAATTGTGTTGTAAAAATAATAATAGCCAAGACTGAAATGTGTTATTTCCCTTGATATTCACAATAACCCTGTGAGGTAGGTACTGTTCCATTTTACAGATGATGTAGCTAAAGGCTGAGGGATCTAACAGGATTTGCCCAAGGTCACACGGCTAATGAATGTCAGAGGTGGAATTCAAACTCAGGTCTTCCTGGCCCTAATCCAGCCTGCCATCTGTCCGCTACGCCCCCTAGTGGCCCGTGCCCCATTCCCCCATCTTTGGAACCGTTGTGTTATTATTATATATTGTGTATTATCTCATCAGTTGCCAAGAGCTCAGTTACCATCTCAGTGCAGGTGATTTCCGCTTCTCCTGCGCTAACCCCCTCAGACCTTCTCACATCCCCTTCTAGGCCCTGAAGGCATCTGACGTGTCTAAAACAGGGCTCTCACCATTGCCTCCAAACTTCCCCTCCTCGTGCTCCTCATTCTCACTTGTTTCTACCTTCCCAGCGTGGCTACAATCAGTCCCTTTCTCCCTAGTCTCACATTGCTGCCCCACCTTGGTTTAGGGTTTCATCACCTCTCATTTGTATTAGTGCCATAGCCCTCCCTGCCTGAAATCTCTCCCCATTCCTGTCCTGTGCCAGGATGATTTCCAAAGTGTAGGTCTGACCACATCAACCCCTGCTCAGGGAACTCCAGAGGCTCCCAGTTTCCTTCAGGAACAACCAAGAAGTCATCCATTTTTCAGCTAAAGATAATCACAACTTGGCCCCTTCCTACCTTTCCAGGCATCCCCCCTTTCCTCCCCTCCACATACTCTGCTATCCTCATTGTGTTCCTTGAACATAACCCTCCATGTCTGTGCCCCCTCACAATTTCTGTGCCTTTTAATTTCCTACCTTCCTTGATGACTCAATTTAAATCCCACATTCTGCAGGAAGGCCTTCTCTGTCCCTTCCCTTCCCTCCCAGACTGCCTTCTATCTATTTTGTATGTAACCTCTGTGTTCTTAGTTATTTTCACCAGTAGGATGTCAGCTCTGAGGGTCTTCTCTGGTCTAGATCTTTGCAGTATCTGCCATACACTAAGCACTTAATAAATACTTGTTGATTGTCAGACTAATTAATGTATTTTGGAAAAACTGAGAACTGCCTCCCACCATCCACCCCCAATATGCTTTTCTAATGACTGGTGTTGACTTATCTGGGCACAGACTGTTTGCCAATATAGGTAAGTTCCCTGAGGGCAAGTTTTGTTTCACTTTCCCCTTTGTTTCCCCAGCACCTGGCACAGTGCCTGCTACATAGTAAGCTTTTTAAAAAATGGTTGTTGATTGACTGCTTGAAAGGCTGACTCACAGAGGTGACCTGGAAATGAACAAGTATCAGGAAATTGAAAGTATCCAGGAGAATATCTTCATACTCAGATTGGCTTTGCAATTTTTGCTAATCTTTAACCAGAAGTAGAAACACTTAACACTGTTTCGATTGAAAGTACAACTTTTGAAAACTTGGCTTGCTTACGATGGAATGTTTGTTTTAATGTTCTTGCAGATTTCCTTGACCATTTGAACCTGAAAACACGGTGTTAGCCTCTTATTGGTAAGTCCTTTGTGTTTAATATTTAAAAGAAAATAACTACAATTGCACGTGACTCAAGAATTCAAGTGGAATGTTGCCTGACTTGTACTGTAATTAAATGGTTATTCACTCACTTTTGGGTTCTTTCATCCAATAATTTGTGGTGTTTTCCATGCTTGCAGTAAAAAGGCATGCATTCTTCTTGGTGGTCAAAAGACCTTTGAATACAGGTCAGAAGCCATTGGGGATAGAGTGGCTGTACAACAGTTATTGTCATGGGGAAAAAAAAAAGATCTGAGGGTCTGGAGGACTGCAAGGTCATTATGAGTCCCCTATTGTGACTTCAAATGGAAGCCAGATTAAACTACCAGGACCTTAAACTGAATTGAGAGGCATAGATAGTGTCAACAAAGTGGAAGGTCTGTATTGCTTTGGTTGGACTGCATCTGGAATGTTGTGTTTAGGGCTAAGTGTTACATTTTAGGGAAAAGGTTGAAATTTGGATGGATTGTCCTTAAGACGATGGGCCGGAACAATAAAAAGGCTGAAAATCATGCCTTATGTGGAAAGAGCTGAGACTTTTTATCCTGAAGAGGAGATGATCGGGGGTGGTGGGGGTGGAATGAGTCACTGTTTTCATACATCCGAAGGGCTGTAGTGCGTAAAAGGAATTAGACTTTTTCTGCTTCTCCCCAGTGGACAGAGCTAGGAACCATGGGTAGAAACTAGAGAACTATAGATTATCAGTTGAATATAAAGAGATTTTAAAAAACCTTGCTAACAATCAGGGTATCCAGAAGTCTAATGGACTTTCTTGGGAGCTAATCCGTTCCCAAGTCAGAAATGGATTGACCACTCGTAGAGGGAGGCTTTGCTTCTGCCAGGCCTTGGTCTCGATGACCTCACAAGTCCCTTTGAATTCTCAGATTCTGTGATTCTGTTACCTGAAAACCTCTCCAGCAACCCAAACGTTCCCAAGCCCCAGCTTGTGGCCTCTTATTTCAAGCCTTTCTTAATACATCAACGTTTTAAGATAGCAAAGGAATTTGAACAACTCCCTGGAGTTGGCTCTCAGGGGATCTGGCCTGTAGCTGAAGAGTGATCGGCCCACTTCTTCCTCGTGCCCCTGTGCTCCTGAAATTTCTCCTTCTTATGACCCATTTGCTGTGGCATGATGAGCAGGGCACTAACCGAATTCTTTGGGGATGATCCTATTTTGGGGGTAGGAAAAGGATGTGTGTTTCGGTGGGGACTTTTATAAAGAGTCACAGGCTTCCCTTTCTATTGTGATTGTGGTGAGAAGGGATTTCTTCTCTCTTAGAGCAACATCCCTGTCTGGGATACTCGGACTTGGATACCAGACTGAAATAGGCCAGGATGGACCACGTGTTCTTTTGCTTTGAATGATTTATTGATCTTCTTATAACATCGTCACTTCCCGATAACTCCTCACCCACCTCCCCACCACCCATAGGACCTCTCTGTGTAACAAAGAGATACACAGTAAATCAACATATTGGCCGTATCTGAAAACATGCCTCATTCTGCACCTCTGGTTCACCACCTGTCTGCTGAGAGTCAGGAGGCAGGCTTTCCTGCTAGTCTTCTGAAGTCAGGACGGGTCGATTCATTGATGAGAATTCTGAAATCTCCTGTCTGTTGTTTACGTTGACATTATTGTGGTCTTCTTGAAATTATTATCCTAGTTCTGTTCACTTCTCTCTGAACCAGTTCATACAGAACTTCTCGTTTCCCAGAATCTTCATTTTGAGACAACATGCAAATAGCTCTGTAATATAACGTATGTACCATGTAGCTGGAAGGTCACTAGCGGGGTGATGGGATGGAGGGCAGAAAAGGCCTCTTGCGGAAGGTGGGGTTGGAGATGAATCCTGAAAGAGGCCAAGGAAGCCAGGAGATAAAGGTGAGAAGGGAGCATATTCCAGGTGTGGGAGACAGATCCCAGTGAGAAGGTATAGAATTGGGGGAGATGGAATGTTGAGTTTGAGGAACAGCAGGTAGTCTTGTATCTCTGAAAGAAGGAGAGTAAAGTATGAGAAAACCAGAAAGATAAGAAAGAGGATAGGCCTCTTATATTCCTATCTTATATTCTATTTGCATATCAGACTTTTATTGGAGATATTTGCTGTGATGATTTTTCCCATTTGACTACTTTTCTTCTTATTATGGCTGCATTGATTTTGTTTGCATAAAGGCTTTTACAGTTTTATATAATTGAAACTGTCTATTTCATCTTTTCTGATCACCTCTGTCCCTTATTCAGCTAAGAAATTTCACCCTAGCCAGAGTTATACCTTCTTTCATTCTCCTCTAATTTTTAATGATGGGATCTTTCATATTTATGTTATATATTCATTGGAACTTGTTGGGGCATATGGTGAAAAGAGTTGCTCTAGAGAGATCTTACAGATATCATGGGTTGTGGTAATATAGGGTCATGTCCAGAAAGCTAGTCAGTGTCATGGATGAGTGCTTAGGTAACTTTAAAGCCAGGTGAACAGTACCTATGAGAGGGCTGCAGTCAATACAGGTAGGCAACCACAAGTGACCAGTGTGTTTTTAAGTAGGTCTAACAGTCTGGGAAATTGGTATGGGCAGACAGCCAAGGTTTCCAGGAAGGTATTTCAGGTCACTGTCTCAGCATGACCAGACCAGAAACCTAAGAAGCACAAGGTGAGAGGCCCATCAGAATAGAGGTGGACATGGTTAAACCAGTTAACAAGAGTCAGAGAAGAGATCTGGGTTCAAGTCTCAGCTGAGATCTCAGCTCCTTCATTGGATGATGAATGAGTGGATCTAGATAATCTCCAAGGCCCCTCTAAACCTAGGGAGTTTCAAGGGGCCCATGGAGAGATTTCGGGGGATTCTTTGCACTTGAATGGGAAAATATTTTGCCTCTTTATTTTCCTTAGCCTCTAATTATAATTTAGTGCCTCCTTCTATTATAAATCCAGGCAACAAACCAGAGAAGGGTTAGTGACAATCTGTGACTCTGTAACCGAGGGAAATCTTTTCATATAACATTGCCTTTTTCGCAGATATCTCGAAATAGCATTTGTGCCCATCACGCCTTTAAAATTACTTTAAAATTATTAAATCTGCCATCAGATATATTTCCATATCGCAAATTGTTCCTTTAATATTTTGATAACTGCATTTAAATATAATTGGTTTCCCTGGTAATCACATATTTAAAAACATTATTCTGAGAAGAGATCCCTGGGCTTCACCAGACTGCCGAAAGGGTCTGTGACACAAACAAGAGGAAGTAGCCTTGCTGGGAGCTTTGATCATCTCTGGACCTGGGAACTCAAGCTGGGAGGAGCCGGGTCACAGGGGTCAAGCACGGACAGAACGGGCCGAGCCGGGTTAGCATAAGTGATGACAGTGCGAAGATTTGGTTGATTGCTGCCTGGCTTTTACCCTGTTCCCTGTAGTGTGGGTGGACAAAGGCCAGTGGGTCTGCGCTGATGGCCACCAGGAGGTAGAGTCCTGCACCTGCCAGTTTTCTCAAGTGTAACAGAAATGGACAATCAGATTTTCCTGTCCTTCCCTTTCTACCAGGGGGTGCCTTACACAGTTGAAACTCTGGGTGCTCAGTCAGAAAGCAGAGGCCTTCTTGAATCTTCTTGGGAGTCAAGCTCATTGAACATGGCGGCCCCCTCCCAGTTGTACCATCACTAGAGGTGGGGAGGGGAGTGGGCCAGTCAGGAGGAGGGAATGACGAGGGTGAAGGACCCATGCTGAGGGGGCAGCGGGCATGGTGATTCTCAAGAGGCAACCCTTTTTTTGGTGTCAAAATACTGGAAACTAAAGGGGTGCCTGCCCATCGTTTGGGGAACATCATGGTATAAGGATGGCATGAAAAAGAATACTATTGTGCTATGAGAAGTGATGATTTCAGAGAAAACTGAGAAGGCTTGTATGAATGATACAGAAAAACAAGTTATACAATAACAACAACATTGTAAAGGTGTCTTAAGGAATCTTATCAATGCAATGACAACCATGATTCCAGAGGACTAGTCATGATGCTTGAGACTTCTCTCCCGGTGGAGAGGTCATAGACCGAGAATGCAGAATGAGCTGTATGTAGTTTTTGGACGTGGCTGTTGTAAGGATTCATTTTGCTTGACTTGGCATATCTGTTACAAGGGTTTTCTTTGGTTTTCTTTTTCCGTAAGAGGAAGTTGGGGGGAGAGAAAACAGATTTGTTCATTGAAAAAATTAATTTGAACTTTAAAAAAGGAGGATGCTTGACATTGTGTCCCATAGATGTGATTGACAACAGATGCAGATGAGCTGGGGCCCATCCATAGGAGAACTGTTAGATGGGGACACAGTAAGTTCATCAGATGAAATTAGGTCAAATGACGGGGGCTGTTTAGCCCAGAAAGAGGAAGACTTTGGGGGAGACATGAAAGCAAGGATTTGCAGGTCAGCCATATTTATTTTGCTTGGATCCAAAGGAGAGGCCAAGGACAAATTAGTACAAGTGGCAGAGGCCACTTTGGTTTTGCCATAAGACTGGCCCTCATTGATCAGTGCTAGAGCTCTTGGAACTTACACCCAAATGTTCTAACTCTTGTGAGCCCAGAACACTGTCTCCTGTCAACTACACGACTTGGAATCTACAACCTGTTAGGAAGCAATAGATTGTGTGTCGGAACAATTTGGTCAGTGGACCAGCATGTGTTAAGCACCTACTGTGTGCCGGGGTACCCTGTGCTAACCGTTGGGGCTACAAGGAAAGGCAGCAACAATACCTGTCCTCAGGGAGCTGACAGTCTCCTGGTGGAGTCCCAGGTGGAGACAACTCTGGCCATCCAAGATATAGGCGGGGAGTGGGGATGTGGCCTAGATGTGTGGGTGGGTGGGTATGTTCCTCTCCCAGAATCTTGGTGAGGAGAAGTGCAGATTTCACCGTACTGTACCATGTACATCAGGTAGATAATAAGAGGTTATTGACTTTGCCTCTGACACTTTGCATATTGTGTTTT